ACGCCGTTACGTCGAGAATGTTAGAACTAATGTACTCGCCGATTTTAATTTGGCCATTTATAAAAGAACCGCCGAAATTCCACGGACGTGTTCTACTCGTTTCGAGAGTTCGAAGGAAGCTTTTCAACTTACGAAAGTTTCGTCGAACGAATCAGGACTTTGATAAAATTAAAAACTATTCGACTAACTAAAAAGTTGACGAGGTTGTTACAAGTTGGATAATGTTTACATACATATAAAAGTTTAGGCGATTCTTTTCTTTTTCTTGAACAATCGGACTCAACGTCCCAATGAATTTGTTCGAGTCCCAAAGTAAACGTACGAGCAATTAAGTACAGAGCCGGAATTTTCCAAGGTCTTATAAAGTGCAGCGTAACTTGCCGTGGGTAATCGATTCCGCGAACAGTGTAATCAGCTCCATTAAGTTTTTTGTCGTACGTTTCTCGTTTGACGCAAAGGTCCGAAGAACAAAGGGGTGTTGAACGGAACGACAGGCCATCGTCATCCCTTTCTCCGTTGCGGTGCTGCGTCGGTTCGTGCCGCGTAGTACGAGATTCGATGTCCGGTCGAGAAAAAACGAGGGACGAGAGCCGAGTGGAAGATGCAGCCGCGATAACGACGATGGAAATTGAATTCTCTCACCAGTCATCCCGCTGCGAAAGTGCATACGCGTTGTATACGTGTCCAATCTTGCCTCCGACTATCGACGTCTACAGAAAAGGGATCCCGAGGATCGTGTCCTCTTTGTCTCGAAATCGGAGCATAGGTATACACGAATACCTATCTCTGTATCGAAAAACTGAATATTTCCAATAAATACATACGTACCGAAATTTATGTTTCGATTATTCGATAACGAAGAATTTTCAGTGATTTATTAGCTATTATAAATGTCGCCGAGCGAGGGTTAATTCGTTCTATAATATAGGCATAGTAGGTTCTTAGCGGCTACTTAACTCGAGTTCACCTCTCATCCACTAGACTCGAACGATGCCCGGTGATCTAGTTAGCGAAATTGGAATTGAAAGCGTGACTGTTCGACGTTACGATAATTTATCACTCGAATAAATGTTCGCTCATGGTGTTCAGTCATGTACAAGTATCAATTTACATGACGCAATGGATATGTAATCTGATATATCGTGTAACGGCGAACACAGAATCGCGAACGGTGGTTCTCATCGAAACCATACCTATGCCGAGGGTAATGCAGAATCGAAAATGATAAATCTCCCCTTTTACGTAGCGCAACTGCAGGTATTTACTTTCTTTATCGACTACTCGTCTCGAACGTTCGGTGCAACGTCATATTTTAACGCGATCGGGTTCGCGCGGGAAAGACGCGACACGACGCACGGTATTCCGCTCGCGAGAATAAACGCCGCGATGTTCGCAGAGAGTACGCGTCATAGAAGCCGCTCCTCGCTACTCGTTTCCTTCGTATAAATCGCTAGTTTCTTGCGTACCGCGTTTGCCATATATTAATGATGCTTTAATGAAATGGGAGTGTTCGTTCACCTCTCGCGCTCGATATTCCTTTCCGTTAACCTAGGCAACGCTTGCCAAGTAATTAGTTTGAACAAACTGGTCGAATAAAACGGTCTATTAAATTTATTTGTTATACACGGTCTATCGTATTTCATACATCCAGCAATCGTTAGCGCATAAATTGTATTTAACATTGTAAACACCTTTATTAAGGTAGCACGCTCCGATCGCGTACAAATAGTTATCCTTAGGATCGAAATCGTGGCAAGAAATTTAAAGGTGATATTTTGTTTCGCGTTAATAAAGCCCTGATAAAAAATCGACTTAAGGCGTTTCGAGACGATCAAATTTGAAATCGATGCTGTTCGAAGGAAGCTCTCGCGATTTAGGAGACAGCGCGTACGTGGACAGGAAAAAAGAGGCGAGACTGTTTCGCGGGAGGATTCGTATGGTGGATGGAGGTATGGCGGGCAAAGTGGAGAAAAGACGGTAAGAGGAGCCGTAGACTGTAGAGAGATCGTAAGGAAGAGCGAGCAGAGTGAATAGGAATACATGGGTAGATTGGACAAAAGGTGAACCCAGTTTGTGGATCTGACGGTGTATAGGTCCGAGGAAAGCGGGAGGCAGCCAGCCGACCGACTCCGTTGGTAGTAGAAGAGATATATCGGCGCTCGGGCACACTCGGGCAGGCTCGTGCGTTCCCGGTGGTTGGTGGTGGCCGCGCACCTCCGCCAAGAGTTTCACGCTGCGTGGAACGAAACTCGTACGCGATCAGCTCGGCCGAGCCAATCTGGCATCCTTACGTATGCCCGTTGCGTTCTAGTTCGAACCGATACGGTGCTTTATCCCCTTGTAATCTTGTCCCCGTACGGGCACGAATAATCGTCGCAACCGCGTCGAGAACCGTGTTCGATCACCGGACAGTTCGCCCCCCTCTCGAGGTCCGCGATCGCGCGAGTTCGAGCATCGGTTGCCGTTGGATTCTCGGAGCCAGTGTACCGTAAAAAGTTCGCGGAACACGGTGAAAACGCGACTCCGTTCGTTTCGCGTGCGGTGCTTCACGCTCGACGGCGATTCATCGTTTCGAAACGCCGTTGGAGAGGGAGAATAATTGTGGCACCGCGCCGCGTCGCGCCGTGACACTCTTCGTTCGTTCGTTCGTTCATTCGGTTGGAAGTGACAACCCTCTCCCGAAGAAAATCCGCCCTCTCTCTTGCCCTCTTTTCCCGGTGTTCTCGTACACCGCTCGTACGACTCGTTCGAGCGACAGTCAACGAATGACGAAAGTGGAAAGGGCGCTCGCTAGGGCCAGCTAACGATCCGACCAAAGGAAAATCGGAGTCGTAGGCGGGGCCTAAGGTCGGGGGACACGTGACACGGAAACTGTCACGCCGCCCTTGTGCTCCCCACCTTCACCCCCTCCACTCGGCCGAAAACCATCGAGCTGACTATACGAGCGCCGCTGCTGCTACTGCTGCTGTGCTGTGCTGTGCTGTGCCGTGCCGCTTCTACCAACCGACTGAACCGACAGCGCTTCTGTCCCCGAGCACAGAGGATCGTCCTCTCGTCGTTTTTCTCTCGCTTTTCGCGCGATGATCTTCGTCTAGAAATGCGAACGATGCTTTCGCTTTTTAATGCCAGTGACGCAGCCCACCATTTCTAAGATGTTTCGAGGATAATGAAGCACAGATATTCGTTGGTTATGTTTTCCGTGGAAATGAAGGAAGGAGGGTGATCTATACCCGTTCAATCGAGGACAAACGGAGACTATGACGATACACGATTCGTGTACGTCGCGCAGCCCTTTTCCGTTAACCTTGTTTCTAGGTGAGCAAGGGAAAACCGGGGCAAATGGTGAGACAAAGTGAAATATTGTTTTCGTAGTATCTCGTAACGTTTATTTTACCCTTCAGAGTTGGAAGGACTCTTCTGTCGTGCGATTAACGAAACTCGTACGCGATCAGCTCGGCCGAGCCAATCTGGCATCCTTACGTATGCCCGTTGCGTTCTAGTTCGAACCGATACGGTGCTTTATCCCCTTGTAATCTTGTCCCCGTACGGGCACGAATAATCGTCGCAACCGCGTCGAGAACCGTGTTCGATCACCGGACAGTTCGCCCCCCTCTCGAGGTCCGCGATCGCGCGAGTTCGAGCATCGGTTGCCGTTGGATTCTCGGAGCCAGTGTACCGTAAAAAGTTCGCGGAACACGGTGAAAACGCGACTCCGTTCGTTTCGCGTGCGGTGCTTCACGCTCGACGGCGATTCATCGTTTCGAAACGCCGTTGGAGAGGGAGAATAATTGTGGCACCGCGCCGCGTCGCGCCGTGACACTCTTCGTTCGTTCGTTCGTTCATTCGGTTGGAAGTGACAACCCTCTCCCGAAGAAAATCCGCCCTCTCTCTTGCCCTCTTTTCCCGGTGTTCTCGTACACCGCTCGTACGACTCGTTCGAGCGACAGTCAACGAATGACGAAAGTGGAAAGGGCGCTCGCTAGGGCCAGCTAACGATCCGACCAAAGGAAAATCGGAGTCGTAGGCGGGGCCTAAGGTCGGGGGACACGTGACACGGAAACTGTCACGCCGCCCTTGTGCTCCCCACCTTCACCCCCTCCACTCGGCCGAAAACCATCGAGCTGACTATACGAGCGCCGCTGCTGCTACTGCTGCTGTGCTGTGCTGTGCTGTGCCGTGCCGCTTCTACCAACCGACTGAACCGACAGCGCTTCTGTCCCCGAGCACAGAGGATCGTCCTCTCGTCGTTTTTCTCTCGCTTTTCGCGCGATGATCTTCGTCTAGAAATGCGAACGATGCTTTCGCTTTTTAATGCCAGTGACGCAGCCCACCATTTCTAAGATGTTTCGAGGATAATGAAGCACAGATATTCGTTGGTTATGTTTTCCGTGGAAATGAAGGAAGGAGGGTGATCTATACCCGTTCAATCGAGGACAAACGGAGACTATGACGATACACGATTCGTGTACGTCGCGCAGCCCTTTTCCGTTAACCTTGTTTCTAGGTGAGCAAGGGAAAACCGGGGCAAATGGTGAGACAAAGTGAAATATTGTTTTCGTAGTATCTCGTAACGTTTATTTTACCCTTCAGAGTTGGAAGGACTCTTCTGTCGTGCGATTCGATGAATAGTTGTTCGTTTCTAGTCGTACGATTCGGCTCAGAGTCCACGTGCATTCTTACGCGATCTGAACGATAATAGGTATGCGAAAAAAAAACGAAGCGACTATCGTTACCGAAATTCTTTGACGATGAACGAATTACCGAGTACGAAGCTTGCTGAACTCTGACGATTTTCGAAAATGGTTATTTTCTCTGACTAGTTCTAACGCTTGGTTTAAAAAGAACAGACATCGAATAAAAAATATTGCTCTCCAATTTTTTATATTTTAATAATTAACGACCCTATCGGTGTGTCGAGACCTACATTTTGGAAATTTCGAATCTAAAGTATAATTTTTCTCTTAAACGAGCATTATATTAATATAGCACGACCTATTTTAACCGACGAATCGAACATTAAAACGTGCTCTCGTTCGAACGAATTCGAAGGCAAAATAATAAGGTCAGGTGGAAATACGAATGGGCTTTGTATAACTACGGGACGGAGAAAAACTCGGCTTCCCTTCGTCTAACATATAGTTTTATTGAAAATTCATTCAAGGTTAGATTTCGTTCGATGTACCTTGACCGATTTCAACGAGACTCGGCGCTAGTCTCTGAAGTACACCCTTAGAAAATAGTTTTGTAAATTTGGAGGAAAATCTCACTTTGTCCCGGTTTCCTACCGATTCGTATCGGAATAATGTAGACCGGTTAGCGCGTCGTCTATTTAGAGGTGCAGGCTCCCACGAGACCGGTGCGATGAGGACGTCGAAGGTGCTGGCGTGAATATCCCGAGGATGCAGCAGGCAAGCGTAGGTGGCTGCGATGGGGATTCTCGACCGGTGAAATCGGCGAAAATTTTTGGTATGAAGGGCGACGTCGCTAACGACAGAAGCTCGAGCGACCCCGACGCTCGAGTCAGGGTGAAAGTCGAGGCTCCAGAATCGACGGAGATGTTCGAGATGAAACGGGAGCCTCAAGACCAGCACGAGTATCAGCACGACTTCCGTTACGACAGAAAGTCGATCGTGCCCTTGAAGCTCGAGCTGAATCAGGATATCGCTGGTCAGACACAGCAGCATCCAGGATACCGTGCTGCTACCAGCGGTTTCCCGAATTCTTACGGGTTTCCGCACTTCTATGGGACAACGATGCTACCTCCTCCGTTTCCTGCACCAGTACCTCGACAGGATAAAATCGAAGAGCAGGAACGCGAACAGGAACGATACAGAGTGACTAGTGTTCCTGGTGACGGTGATTTTCCTCATCACGAGCCTCATCGGTTCGAGATCAGTGATTATCAAACTAAGCATCCTGGGTATCCTGCGATGCCTTACGCGTCCTTTCGACCTTCGATGCAACCACGTTCGTCGTACGGTGGTCATCAGAATAATAGTAGCTACAGGAACACGCAGTATCAGAACAGGAAGCGCAAGTGGGGCGGGGCTGCGCTTCGTGGGATGCACCCGTCGATACCGGTAAGTTTTTTATTTCCTACTTTTCACTCTAAGCCTGTTAATTCGCTTTTATCGAGAAACCGATTACCGAATACCGATTAACAATTCTTTCATGATCATCGATTCGACTGTAACTAATTAAAAAGTCTATTAAAAAGCTAGACGCGATACGATCAAGGTGATTTTTTTTCGCGAACGAAATATAGTTTTTTTTCAAGATATATCTTCGAACCTTCACGATATCGAGATCGTTTAAATAATTGAAAAATTCGATCGAACAACGCAAAAAATGAAACATCTGAACACGATCGAACGTCTTGACTATGTCGTTTAAAGCTACCTTCTTCTTACCACGTCGCTTCGAGAAGTTAGCAAATATTTCCGACAGTTCTGGTCAAATTTCTAATAACTATTGCGAATTCGTCGTTGATAATTGTCTTTTTCGTGATATTTTCTTTGATGGATATTATTGAAGCGGTGGTGTCGGTCAAGAGATGTTCTACCCGTTAACCACCGTGATTTAAGGTACGACTTTTCGGCGTGATTTAAAAAGAGAAGAGTAACGCGTGGTCAAGTTGGACCGCTTTGTCTCGTCAAACCAGGAAAGTGTTGGGCGTGCGCCAACGTAGTGGGATTGCCACCGCGAACAACCGAAATATTGCTAAAACATCGTGCATCCTATTGCTGAATTTTCTTACATAATGTATATGTACAAACCTTCGTTCTTTTCTGTTTACACAATAAGCCAGAAAGAAAGCGGCGTTCAATAGATCATTAACCTGGAGCGCAATTAAAACTGATCCGCGAGTAAAATCGACACGGTCGTCCGATGCTTCCGCGTCTCGAACAAAAGCTATTCTTTGCCTGTATGTCGATATTAACGAGTTATACTTGGAACTACGTCGCAACGAAATAGTTCAACTGGGAAACGGGGATCTGCCTTTAGGTTTCGCAGCTAGTAAACGCGTTACGAGCACGGAAAGCTAACAACGAACCAGAACTTTCTCGATAGAATATTTTCGTCCCTGTTCGAAACATATTTTTTCCATTGAATTATCAAAATGAATCTTATCGCTCCCCTGTAAGACTAGGTTAGTTGAAGAACGGAAAATCGACGCAGCTATTTTTATTCGGTCTATCGGCTGTAAATCAAACGAGAAGTACGAGAAGTAACGCGTTAAAAGTACGAAGGTGCTGGAAATATATCCCGTAGGTGTATAGAATGCAGAAAAGTGACGCGTAACTCGGCTTCTGAGAAATCGTTGTCGGTCACGTCGCGTTATCGTCGCACGACCTGCGAATACTGGCCCCGGGTATAGTCGCGGCATTAAATGAAATCGAATGAAAGTTCACGATCGTTCGAGTAAAAATTACGCCGATCCGTGACCGAAATTACAGTGTTTATGCGTGGCGTGTCGGTTTGGACCCTCGGGGAAAGACTTCGTGCCTCGACAGAGAGGTTGGATCAATGGAAGTCGAACTGACCCGATTATGAACAGGAAATGATCGGTGCTGAATGCTTTGATCAACGATGATTGCAATATCGAAACATCGAAAATAAATAAGCAAGTACCTACAAATTGTCTCGTTGCGTAGTTTATTCAGAGGCGATGTCTACATATGTTCTTGAGAAAAGTATCATCCTCGTGAACGAGACGCTCGTTTATTCATCGCGAACATTTGTCAACGAATCACGGCATCGACACGACGATTCCGTAGTAAAATCACCGACAAATTTCGCTCTAATCTTAATAAAAATTCGGATATACGTATCGGGTTCTTTCTACCGCGACTACGTCTAGACCGTAGAGCGCAGAGAGTCGCGAGAGGATCGAATAATCTAAAAAGGCAGGACGTTCAGCAGGAAATAAATCGTCGTCAGGATTTAATTGGCTACCGTATTTATTGCGCGCGGTGCGTCCAGAAGTTCGCTTATAGGAAGAGAAATTATCCTGAAACCGAGAATAAAACCGCGAAGCTTGGCGTTCGTTCACGCATTTCGCAATCTCCGTATCGTAGATCGCTCCAAAACGGGTCAGAGTCGCGACTCGGGAGTCGACGGAACGTTTCCGCGCCAAAAGTGTCCGGAATGGTTGGTCACGCCGGAGCCAAGTTCTCTCATCTGCATACCGTGTTTCCTCTTTCTCTAACGATCGTTCATCTTCCGCGGTAGGACGCACGCACCTGTATCGAGATAACGCCGCGTAACGTATAACCGCAGCGAATAAGGGCATCGAATCGAAGCCGATCCCTTTGCTCGGCTTTTTCCTACAAACTTTAAAGGAGAATCGTAGAAAATCACCGAATTTACGATCTTTCCGACCAGCTATCGAGATTTTCGATGTTTTACGCTGATTTCGACGCTCATAAAACTATCGAACATTTCGAAAGGAGCACGACACCGTTCAGGATCTATTAGGGTTCGACCGAATTAATTTGTAAATTTTCAATGACAAACCTGAAAAACTCACGAACCTTCGAATCGTCGAGTTCGCAAACTTTGGAGCATCGCATGGAAGGATGCAACATCACCCTTCAACATCTTTTCCAGCATCGGTTTTAGAATACTCTATACAAACATTATTCGTAAGCGTAACCGATTTCGAAGCTTTTTCGTCGTAAAAAAAACTGCTTTCTCCTTTACTCTTTATCTTGATCGAATCGGCGTGACCCTCTCCCTGATCCGCTATGAACTTTTTCTTCTCGCTTCCACTCAATTAGTGGCTGGCCCTTAAGTTGACCGTCGAAAAACACATTGTACGAGCTGACTTGTTTTCACGTGGATACGAGACGAGACGAAACAAGACGAATCGTTTGCCATGTTTCGAGAGTGCAACGCCATGTGTTGCGCTCAATTGGACGCCCTTCAGGTAGAAAAACGCGTATCGGGGCCCGGCTCGTAAACGCATCTGGCGAGCGGAATCACTCCGGGCCCCTCCGGAGGCGTGCAAACGTGTTCCTTTCTTTCGTCGTTTCTTCCTTTCGACGATGTTATTTGTAAATTGAGGCGGTTTTGCGTTAAGTAACGCGCCTCCCAGTCGGCAGGTTATACTTATACGCGTCCGTTTAGCAGTTTAGCGTCTCGAAGTCGTTGCTTTTGAACGCACGGAAACATTTCAATAGAATTAATCGTCGAGATAAATGAAACATACTTCGATAACATAACGAATTTCATCGAAACGATGTTAAATTAGAAAATTATCTGGTTCGAACTTTCAAGGTGTTTAACGAGAACAGCGAATATCCGTTCGATGTATTACCGGATACGCGAAGTAGAATTCTGTTCGAACCTCGATTCAACTTACCTTCGATCGTGAGCGTTATAGATGTATTGTAAATTGTAGAATGGGAAAAAAAAGAAACGGTTACACGATAGAAGAGCAGAATAGTAAAAAAGTAAACTAATAAGGTATGGTGCAACGGTTGTATCGTAGTGTAGCAGAGCGATAAAATCCGAAATAATAAATTGAAGTATCGCGTTAAAACGCGTTTCAACATTTCTAATGTTTTATCGTAGTCATTAATATGTATGTTATAAAATACGAATAATCGAATTTCCGATAATCGATTAATGCGAAGTTGATTAGAAAATCGTTACTGTCTGTACACAGAAGATTTTCATCGCAAAGCGTCGAGTTAACGACAAATAGCGTGATCGGTGTTATTACCGCGAAACGAGGCGTCCCGATGCCACGGTGCGCCTACATTATATACCTATGGACCCCTGTTTATGCTTGTTCGCGCGACCCACCCTTCGATACGCCGCGTAATCACGCGGCTTTACGTGTCACTTTGTAGTCCATGAATAATTAATGGTCAGCGTTTATTTTTGCTCGTTTTATGGCCCTGGTTTTTCATTTATCTCTTTGATTTAGCTACGCAAAATCGAAACCGAGAGAATAAGCGTCACTGATGCGATTAACGATCGAATCGTTTATTATCCGATTAATTCTTTACGATATACAATCTTGACACGATTAAGTCATGTAGAAGGTAACGATAGTTTGCACCGAAAATCTGTGTAAGGTTAGGTGTTCCTTGAATTTTTGCAAGTTTAGGTATATTTCCGATACTATTTAGCACGAGATTTTCAAGATTATCGAATTACGTGCGAATGGATTATTAAAACATGTTGAACGGGAGAATTGGCAGTACATTGTCAGGTAAAATTCGCGCAGGGCGAGCAGAAAAAAGCCAAACAGGTAACAGCCCCCGCGTCGTTATTAAAGGACAGCCGTCGACAGCCGCACGACAGGGCGCGTGCTCTGAAACCGCATCCCCAAAGCCGCACGCTAATTATTTATTCTTCGTTATACCTTCCTTTTCGAATGGCGTCACGATTCTCTTTCTTCCTTTCTTTCTTTGTTCGCCATGTACGTTCTATCTGGCCCTTTTCGTCGACTCGTCGCTTCGTTCGATCGTTTCATAATTCGTTCGTTCGCGTTAAGGGGAGATACTCGGATCTAAAGTACGTAGGTGTCTAGGTATAAAAAAATTTTGAAACCTGTCGATATTTCTTACGAAGTAGTCTATTCGATTAACAACTATAATCACTTTTAGTAGCGAGAAGGTTAGCGGACAGCAGAGAAAATTATCGATGAAAATTATCGGTATTTCCTCATGTATGTATCCTCTCAATTACTTCGACTTCCACGTCGCGTAAAACGTTTTATCGACAGAGTACGAGGAGGACCCGATGCAACACGCGCGCATTCCGACGCGAACGAACACGCACGCCAGCAAATATTTTCACACAATAATCGGAGCCTTCGTGCTTGGCCGTCTATCGTCGTGATATCGACGACGCTAGACTCGATCTTGGACGAATCGTGTGTTGTAACTCATTATAACTTATTATCGGAGATAGAAATTTCGGAGGAGAAATATTCGACTTTATGTAAACTTTATGTTTCTTTATGTAAAATCAAAGCGACAAATGGATGTTCGATAAAAAGTCACTAATTGTGGCACTAATATCAGGAGCGATAAGAGTTGGAACGCTTCAATTACGTTTCGAAATG